AGCTAAGATCCCGCTACTGCACTCCAGCCTGGGCGACAGAGGGAGACCCCACCTCAAAAAAAAAAAAAAAGAGAAAGAGACAGGGTCTCCCTATGTTGCCCAGGCTGATCTCGAACTTCTGGCCTCAAGCAATCTTCCCAATTCGGCCTCCCAAAGTACTGGGATTACAGCCGTGAGCCACGGCGCCCAGTCTGAGCCTGTTTTGCAGATGAGGATAACGAGAGGCAGAATCAGGATTCAAACCCAGGTCCCCTCAACTTCAAAGTTCACAACCTTTAAGACATTCTGAAGCGTTGCAGCTCCACAATGCCTGGAGAAGGGTTTCTCCGGCTCTTGGCAGTGACTTTCCGTGGTGAATTCGCCTTCAGTAACTGACAGCTTTGCAGCTGTCCTGCTACCTGGAAATTCGGCTTTCCTAGGTGCTTTCTTGGGCAGTGCCAGGGGCCTGCCACGGGCGGGGAACTGAACAGAGGTGGGGGCAGCTTCTAGATGGAAGGATGGACATCAGCCAGCGCCATGAGCCTGAGGCTCCCACACCTGGTGCCCGGGCGGGACTTGGGGGTGCTCAGGGGTGCGTGTGTGTACGTGCGTGTTCTATGTTCTTTCTTCTGAGGCCGCTTACGATCTGTCTCTCCCTCCGATGCCACATCATCAGGAGCAGTACACGGTAAAGTCTCTTTCTCCCTCTCTCTCTCTCTCTTTCTCTCTCTCTCTCTCTCTCTCTCTCTCTCTCTCATATTCTGTCTCATGATATGTCCTCTGGTGTAGCCTCGTTAGTTCTGGGCCTGTTTCCGTGGCCTTGTGTCCTTGCCGCCGCCGTCCTGTCACTTCGAATGACCAGAACTCACTCCCTGGGAAAGAGGTATCCCAAAGGGTCCTGCCAGTGCCTCCGCCCATGCCCCACCAGTTCCTGCAGAGAACAGAAGGGGCAGAGGTTCGGTTTCAATAGGCAAGCTGGGTGGAGCAGTTATCAGAAGCAATGAAAGTGGGCCGGACACTGTGGCGCACGCCTCTAATCCCAACATTTTGGGAGGCCGAGGCAGGTAGATCACTTGAGATCAGGAGTTTGAGACCAGCCTGGCGAACGTGGTGAAACCCCATCTCTACTAAAAATACGAAAAATTAGCTGGGCATGGTGGTGCACATCTGTCATCCCAGCTACCTAGGAGGCTGAGGCAGGAGAATCACTTAAACCTGGGAGGTGGAGGTTGCAGTGAGCTAAGATCATGCCACTGCACTCCAGCCTGGGCGACAGAGCGAGACTCTGTCCCCACCCGCAAAAAAAAAAAAAAAAATTTAAAAATTTAAAAAAATAAAATGAACATGGAATCGTTTTCAGATGAGGAGATGCAAAACACCCATGGAGCCGTGTTCCCAAATATCACTTGTTTGGGACATCAAGATTTTAGCCAGTTCCATGTGCAACCTGGATGTACGGTTCCTTGACATTTTTTTTCTATCAACACGTATTCTAAACTTTCGTTTCAAAAGGAAACTTTAGCCAGGTGCAGTGGTGCATGCCTGCAGCCCCAGCCATTTGGGAGGCTGAGGCTGGAGGATCACCTGAGCCCAGGAGTTGGAGGCTGTGGTGAGCTACGATCGCACCACTGCACTCCACCCTGAGACTCCATTT